TAAATGTCGGATGAATAGGTCGATCTGTTCTGCATCTGTCTCTTCACCAGGTGCCACTTTTGTAGCCTGTGACGTGCCCTTCTGGAGGCACCGTTAACATCATGTGTGATTTGGAGTGGGGATATTCATGTGTGTAATTTGATTCAAATAACTGAATACAAATTATTGTCTTCAGGTTTTTAACATACAGGTTTATCTAGACCAAGTGAGTGGCACTTTTCTGTATAAAAATATAAGACTTAAGTGTCATCACTTTGTTACCACTAAAATTATTATTCGCCTTTGCTTTTTATTGCTTAAATAATTGGCTTATTTTGAATGTACTTTAACAACAGAAAACAAGGTAAAATTCAAAAACTATTAAGGAACTTCTGTGTTAAATTTTAATTTACTAAAATTTTGAGAAATGAGATTTATGAAAGATTTAAAATTCATGGATTTTTTCCCCCACACGCAAGTTGTTTAAAAGCCAGAATGTTTAAGAAAATCACTTTATTAACAAGTATAAAAAGACTAGTCCCTAGCAAAATGCTAAATAATTTCAGTTTACAGGGAATTTTTAACAATTTACAGAAAGACCTTTTAGTCAGTTTAGATGTAACAAAATTAAAATCTGTAAGTCTTACTCTTTAACTTAGCAATATTCTTCCTTAGTTTGGATCTTCCATAGGTGTATTTAGTTTAAAAACTAACATCGTAGTATTAACTTCCAAGTGAAATTTTAGTGCTCAGAAAAGAAGGATGAGGCGATGAAAGGTTGAAAATCTCGTGTCCTTGTATGGTGAGTTACAATCACCAAACACAGGGTTCGGAGAAAGGGGACTTTTTCAGTCACTTCCATCTGAAAACTATGAAAACAAAGCTCCCTGTTGGTGCCAGGTCCTTCCTCACTCCAGGGAAAGACGGGGTTTTGACCCTCCAGATGACGTAGAGGCGAAGACTTGGTCTGCTTGCTGGTTTGTCTAGGTTCGTGTTGGTAACATGCTGTTTGTTTAAGAAAGAAACTGAAAGCACGCGGTGTGCTGGGTTTGTGGGGCGCAGAGAAGACAGGACGGGTTACACTGAACTGCTCTGGGTCACGTGGTGGAGGCAGGCGCCACCCAGCCTCCGTCTCCACCCGGGTTCTTCCTCTTCCTTGATCTGTGTGCTTTGAACAGATTGCAGTCTCCCCTCAGTGTCTGCAGGGGACTGGATCCAGGCCTCCCTTGGATTCCAGAATCTGTAGATGCTCAAGTTCCTTATACAAATGGTGTAGCATTTGGACATGACCTGTGCTCATCCTCCTGTGTACTTTAAATTATCAGTATACCTAATACAGTAGATTCTGCGTAAATAGTTTAAAATTCAATGTAAATGCTATGTAAATAGTTGCCGTAGTGCTGCAAATGTAAGGTTTACTTTCTGGGACTTCCTGGAATTTTTTCTTTCCAGATAGTTTTCATCCGTGGTTGGTTGAATTCAAGGATGTGGAACTGGAACCCTCAGATGTATTTAATTTCTTTAAGCCCCAGTTTCTCCGACAGCAACTTGGGGATGGATTCCAGCAACACCTCTCTGGGAAGATTAGATATGAAGATGGAGCATTAGTGGGTGTAAGACACTTAAGTACAGTACCAGGCCCGTAGTGTAAGTCTTCAGGTTTTTAAGAAATCCAAAGTATTCCTAAATGTAGGGTTATTACTCTGGTGGAGTCTGACACCAGAGGTCAAGTATTGGTAAGCACAAAAGTTTGGATGGAGGTTCTGGCACTAGCCGGGGCGACCCAGCTGGGCGGGTGGCCACCTGCACGCGCTAACCTGGCAGACGTTGGGAGTGTCTGAGCACGCACGCTCAAGGGTGTTCGGGAGTCCTTGCGTCACCTCTGCGTCTGTCGCAGGAGTGTGGAGTAGGCTGGACTGACTCTGGAGGTCTTTTCTGGAACTTCTCCGGGGCATGGTCTGGGACTTGCTCTAAATGTGGTTATCCTGGGTCTCTGAGTCACAGGTTGAGTTTCTTCACCTGTGAAATGGGAATAGCATCTTCCTTCTAGAGTGACTGTGAGAAGGAACCAGGTCCTCCCAGCCAGGACTCCAGTGTTGAGGAACCTTCAGCAGAGGACGGAAAAGGAAGGGCTTGCTTTATAAACAAATTAGCATATTTAGGTGCCTCATGAAGCCCGTGCCGGGGCTGCAGTCGCGGGTTAGGGACAGAATGGAACGTGGGCCGTGAGCGCCGGGGCCGCTGTCCCTCTCCCATGCTGTTCTGCCTTGGCTTCGTCCTTCTGTTGCTGAAAGATGAGCCCCCGTCCCCGACGAGCCAAATAACCCAGAGACAAGGTCTTCGAGCTTCTTAGAAGAAAAGAGGCAGCTTTATTACTTTGCCTGGCAAAGGGGACTCACAGCAGGCTCGTGCCTTCAGAACTGTGAG